GATGTACTCAAACTGACCAAATTAATCCACATAATCGTACAAAAGTAACACAATAAAATTTTAAAACTGACCGGGTGATAAACCTCTTATCTTTGTTCCCATGGTCAAAAATCTTTCTAAACAATCAATTCTAAAAAGGTTGTTATAATTATGTATTTGATGGTTATTTCTTAGCTATTCAGTTCAATATGTTTGACTAAGATACGAAAGAAGTCCGTGAATCTTTTACTAAAAAAATTTAGATAATTTACGCGAAATTTTCTTAAAAATCATCACAAAGAACAAAAACAAAAAAAAGCGAAACAAATGGAACTCCTTTTACTTTAAATGTTCACTCGGGAGTTCAGGAGCTTTGTGGCTTTTGATTGGCAGCATCTTCGTCTTTTTACTCCAATGCATGTGCAATGGCTCTCAGCATCTTCGTGGCAAGCTTACCTTTACATTCTTCTTCGATCATCTTTTTCTGTTTTTCCAGCCATTCGTCCACGTAGTTGCGGTCTGTGCCCTCGGTAGGCAGGGCTTGGAAGTCGGTCTTGACATCTGGTAAGCCTGCATAGAACATTTGGCAAATAGACTTCATATCCTTGGCTTCAACCGACATTACTTTGAAGAAGATAAATTGAGGGTCGTCCTCGCTCTTCTTAGCGTTGTTTTCAAACTTTTGCAATTCGTGCTCCATAACAGAGAAGAAGCCGGCTGCTTTAGAAATTCCACCAATGAAGGCTTCAAAAGCAGGAATGAGAGCTTCTCTCACTGCCAAGGCCGCTGCTTCTTGGATCTTCGCATGATTACCTGTAGCAACGGCTTCTGCCAAATTTTTGTCACCAGCAGCGTGTAATATGCCACCGGCAATCGTGCCAATGCTAGGGATAAAGCAAAGTGCCTTTGCCCAGAAACGTTTTTTGCCTGCCTTTCTTTCCAATTCTGCCTTCTTCTTCTCAAATTCTGCCACAAGGAGCGTCATTTTCTTCAATAAAATACCAGCCTGGTCTCTTCTCTTCTTCAGGGGCACCAAAATTTCTTCATGCATTTTCAACATTGTGTGACAGAGCTTCTTGTACTCAGTAGCTTGATTGCGGATCATGGAAATATTTTCACACCACTCATCAAACGTCAGAGCGTCATAGTATTCAAAGTATGTGCTGATTGATGTGACAAACTCGGTTGTCAGAGGAAGGATGCCCTCAATGTACACCATGGCATCATTCCTGGTGTCGTCGCGGAGTTTTCTGAACTCTTTGGCAACCTCTTCGTCAGTGCCCACCGCTTTCTCGGCGTAGAGGGATCTCATTGTGAGGGAGAACATTCTCATATCGACAGACATGTTCTTCACTCCTTCCCGCAGCTCATCGACTTGATGCTTTGTTTTCTTCTCGATAGCACTCATCTGCAAGTAGGAAAAGAGATAGCAATGTATAACTCATTCATATAGTAACGTGCTCTTTCACTATGCTCCCAATCATTTAACAAGAAGCAGGTGAGTCGTTTCTCATTGAAAACTGATTCGATACACCCATTCAATCCGACGAGTAATTCTCCCTTGTGGTTATCATACATTTCCCTTTAAACTGGTGTAGAGAATTTTATAATAAAGCAAGATGCATGTATGGCAAGGAGAGAATATATGCGAATAAACGCTTGAGAGTGAATTCTAAAAGACAATCTCCCTAGCGAAGGTTTGGGTAAAACGGTGACGGAATACAGAAAGATTTCGATCAAAATAGAACCAGAACGAGAGAAGTAACCACTGGGAATTGAAAAGCGAAACCCGCGTATATGACTTGAGGAACTCTTAGAAAAGAAATGGATTTAAAGGATCATAAAACATCTCACAAGAAAACAAATGTATATATAGGGGGTAAGTTTCTAAAGAAATTGTAGTGTTGCGTCGGTGGGAATAGAACCAGGTAATTTGGTTGTATCAACTGAGTTGAAAGGTGATCAACGTTTCGCTCTGACTAAGGGCTAGCTCTCGAAACGCCAGCTTTAGAAACTCTACACGGTGGCCAATTTACATTACCAAATCATTTGAAAAAGCAATTTATCTTAAAGGAAAACAATTTGGTTTACCTTGACACTGAAGGGAGTCTTGATTCAAACTTGAAAAGGGAGAGGCTGGTTGAATCGTCTGGGCTGAACAGCGTATTCTGTGAAGCTCTAATGGAACTGACTCAAACAGGAGCCGTTCGACTGTTTTATAGAGCTACCAGAGAAAGCCGGCATTGAGCCAGTTTTCTGAAACGTTCCCGTTCCCGTTCATGTTAGGACACGAACATTACGTGGCCGGATATAATCTTGTAATCTCGGGAACACGTTCGCAAGTTTCCTCGTTGCCTTAACCACTTTTTGCCAAAAACGTGCTAAACATGGAGTCTGTGTTGTAATCTCGGAAACACGTTCACAAGTTTCCTTGTTCCCTGAACCACTTTTTGCCAAAAACGTGCCGAGCATGGAGTCTGTGTTGTGACAGATTTAAATGTGGCTGAATGTGACGTGATGAAAACTGACGCTTAAAAGCCAAACTAGAAATCTCGCATGCTTAATTCTTAGCCTACCTTTAGCCGTACCCTTCCACCCCCCCCCCCCCCCCCTTCCTCTTCTCTTCCCATGAAGAAACGGAAAAGAGGGAGGAAACGTTTTTGTTGGGGGGGCGGGATAAGATTCCCTTAAGATTTTAAACGTAAAAGCAACCCTTTAACAAACTTGGTCCAGGGGCTCGTTTCTCGAAGGTGCTTTAAATTTTGATTTTGAATTATGGTTTCGAGCCGGTTACATGTGAGTTATGCAAGTTACTGGGACTTTCAAGAAGAGTTTCCCAGAGCTGGCTTGAGTTAGTAATCTCATTCATGGGAGACTTTGTTTAACCTCTCAGTTTTTTTAAAAAATCGTGACTTGTATGCAGGATTTGATGTTGATTGTTTCTGAATTGCCCTCTTCCCAGACATTCAACAAAGTTATTTCATTCCCTTGACACGACATGAAGTAAAATTTTGTAATAAGATACTCGTTCGGACAAGCACATCATTCAATGGCAATTTAACGGAAAATTGAGGTCAAATGAAATCGGTATCACCTGTTATATCACGGGCTGAGCTTAGACTCGTACCACACTCATCCGTTTTTAGAGTGTGACGCGTAATTTAAGATGGATTTCCAAAGTCGTGTAACTTTTAGCGAACGTAAAACGTACGTAAGAAATTTCCATTTCCCCGAAAAATGGATACAAAGCATTTTTTTACGTACAAAAAACGCAGGCCCGTGCGTCAAGGTTGAAGGCTGTTCAACTTTAGTCTGCAATTTACTCGCGATTGCAACCTACGTAAAACGTACGTAAACGTCTTGACAAAACGTGGAAATGGAGAAATGACAAAATTTAGCGAACGACGGCGTTTACGCTCGTTGACATTTATTCTACGTAAACAATCGTTTTAACACACGTTCACGTGCGTGGACAAAAAACGCAACAGTGGAAATCCACCTCAGGGCCAAACTCAAAATATGTCACGCATGACCTTTACAGAGAGGCGAGCGAGAGTCGTGACTTAATGAATCAGCGTGAGGCGTGATTTGCCTTCTGAAATATACATGACACTTGAATTTTTTTCAAAATCTCAACACAAGAAGAAAGATTTTATTCTTTTCCTATTAAATTCGTGAAGCGTGAAATGCTGTTTAAAGTATACGTGACGGGGAAATTTTTCTAAAATTTAAAGGAATTAGTGTTATATCTGATTCACACCAAAGATAGAACATGTTTAAGCTGTTTTGTAAAACGCGGTTCAAGTTTTACCGAATTCAAATCTAGCACATTAAAAATTAAAAGTTAGTGACTACTTGAGTCCACACTTAAGCGACCGGCAATCAAGATGGCTGCGAAGGCGACAGAATCACAACATCGTGTTTTTCATCACCGGTGTCAAAAGCCTCCACTTCACTTGTCCATACAAGTGGAGCGTTTATTTATTTTTATTTATTTTTGGGGGAAAAGTGGGACAGGCAACAACAGATAAAAAGAAGCGTTTCTTCGCATGGTAGTCATTAAAATCAAGACATTGTTACATTCACGTTAACACAATCTAACTAGGACATGTTTTGAGCATTTAAAAACACAGAGACAATAAAAAACAATGTTGCTGTTGTGCTTCTCAGCTAAGAGAGTCAAAGGGTTAAGAGGTGGCGCGTTAGTAAGGTCAAAACCAATATGCGAAGCCTGGATTTTACAGAAAGGCAAGCGTGATTCGTTAAGTTAGGGCGTGATCTTCCTCCTGAAATATACTTTATCCGTGAATTTTTCCCTGAAACCTTCAACACAATAGGCGAGATTTTAAGTTATCCCTTTTAAATACGTGAAGTGTAAACTTTAATAAAATTCCTGCGCGAAACGGGTCAAGGCTCTCCCTTACTCATCTTCAGCCGACGGGACCTGTCAAGTGCATGCAAGTAGTTAAGTACTTTGACAGATTTAAGACAGCTTACAAGGCTTATTACTGCTAAGTAACTCAAATTAGACCTTTAAATCGTCAGGTTTAGACATGTCTTAACAACATCAATACAACATTTTATCAGGTAGCCGGAAGACGTTTTAACTGAAGCTATTGTTAGCTTACACTGATTGATAGTTTATTTACGAAAAATTTACGAAAGCAAAGCTCGAGGAAAACTGAAGGCTTCAATTCACTTGATGCGCCTCGACCAATCACCCGAGCCAAAAATATTAATGGATAAAAAATAATGTCGTTTTGCAGTTATCAAAGAGTTAAGCCGAACACAAGTCCGATTTTGCAAGTCAATGCCACATAAGAAGGGCTTTCATTACAGATGGCCTCGGTGAAAACATGTTCCCAAAGTTATTTGGGGTTTTCAGACCCACTGCTCGATGAAAACGTTTCTTAATTAATGCAAAGGTACTTTGTATTCGCAGTTAAGAATATTGCACAGCAATAGAACGCTCGTGGCTCCTCGTGCACGCATACAGTAGAATAAATGAATGCTAACGCACATCATTTGATTGTTAATTTTATTTAATCAAAATAACTTTCAAACTTGAAACAAAAATAAATGCTGTAAGGCAATTCTGGAAGCTTCTAAATCTGAAAACGTTTTTCCTACAACATGCCAGCGATAGAAAATTTTAAACAAATTGAGTCATTTAAAAAACACTGTTTAAGATGTACTCAGTTCTCTTTTTTTTCCTTTTAAAAGTCGCAAAAGAAAATTTGGCTCTGGAAAGAAGCAGAAAATGGGTCATTTTAAACACTGTTAAAGATGTTCCACTCAGTTTCCTTCACGTTTGAATGTTAATAAAGTCATGATGTGGAGCCCAAATCTTCTGCAATACAACAGCTAATATATATGAAAATAAAAATATATAATGAAAAGTTTAATTTGATTTTGCTGCGCTCTACAACTTCAGTTTGCTCTAGTCTCGCGGTGCTAAGTCACTGCATTTGAAAATTCTTTGAAAAGCTAATATGGGAATATTTTGAAGTAGCAGATGAGTAATTTTAAGCACTGTTAAAGATCTACTCAAACTGACCAACTGAATCCACATAATCGTACAAAAGTAACACAATAAAATTTTAAAACTGAGCGGATGATAAACCTCTTATCTTTGTTCCCATGGTCAAAAATCTTTCTAAACAATCAATTCTAAAAAGGTTGTTATAATTATGTATTTGATGGTTATTTCTCAGCTGATTAGTTCAACATGTTTGACTGAGATACGAAACAAGTCCGTGAATCTTTTACTAAAAAAATTTGACAATTTACGGAAAATTTTCTTAAAAATCATCACAAAGAACAAAAACAAAAAAAACCAAAATAACTGGAACTGCTTTTAGTTTAAATGTTCACTTGGGAGTTCAGGAGCTTTGTGGCTTTTGATTGGCAGCATCTTCGACTTTTTTCTCCAATGCATGTGCAATGGCTCTCAGCATCTTCGTGGCAAGCTTACCTTTACATTCTTCTTCGATCATCTTTTTCTGTTTTTCCAGCCATTCGTCCACGTAGTTGCGGTCTGTGCCCTCGGTAGGCAGGGCTTGGAAGTCGGTCTTGACATCTGGTAAGCCTGCATAGAACACTTGGCAAATAGACTTCATATCCTTGGCTTCAACCGACATTACTTTGAAGAAGATAAATTGAGGGTCGTCCTCGCTCTTCTTGGCGTTGTTTTCAAACTTTTGCAATTCGTGCTCCATAACAGAGAAGAAGCCGGCTGCTTTAGAAATTCCTCCAATGAAGGCTTCAAAAGCAGGAATGAGAGCTTCTCTCACTGCCAAGGCCGCTGCTTCTTGGATCTTCGCATGATTACCTGTAGCAACGGCTTCTGCCAAATTTTTGTCACCAGCAGCGTGTAATATGCCACCGGCAATCGTGCCAATGCTAGGGATAAAGCAAAGTGCCTTTGCCCAAAAACGTTTTTTGCCTGCCTTTCTTTCCAATTCTGCCTTCTTCTTCTCAAATTCTGCCACAAGGAGCGTCATTTTCTTCAATAAAATACCGGCCTGGTCTCTTCTCTTCTTCAGGGGCACCAAAATCTCTTCATGCATTTTCAACATTGTGTGACAGAGCTTCTTGTACTCAGTAGCTTGATTGCGGATCATGGAAATATTTTCACACCACTCATCAAACGTCAGAGCGTCATAGTATTCAAAGTATGTGCTGATTGATGTGACAAACTCGGTTGTCAGAGGAAGGATGCCCTCAATGTACACCATGGCATCATTCCTGGTGTCGTCGCGGAGTTTTCTGAACTCTTTGGCAACCTCTTCGTCAGTGCCCACCGCTTTCTCGGCGTAGAGGGATCTCATTGTGAGGGAGAACATTCTCATATCGACAGACATGTTCTTCACTCCTTCCCGCAGCTCATCGACTTGATGCTTTGTTTTCTTCTCGATAGCACTCATCTGCAAGTAGGAAAAGTGATAGCAATGTATAACTCATTCATATAGTAACGTGCTCTTTCACTATGCTCCCAATCATTTAACAAGAAGCAGGTGAGTCGTTTCTCATTGAAAACTCATTCGATACACCCATTCAATCCGACGAGTAATTCTCCCTTGTGGTTATCATACATTTCCCTTTAAACTGGTGTAGAGAATTTTATAATAAAGCAAGATGTATGTATGGTAAGGAGAGAATATATGCGAATAAACGATTGAGAGTGAATTCTAAAAGACAATCTCCCCAGCGAAGGTTTAGGTAAAAAGGTGACAGAATACAGATAGATTTCGATCAAAATAAAACCAGAACGAGAGAAGTAACCACTGGGAATTGAAAAGCGAAACCCGCGTATATGACTTGAGGAACTCTTACAAAAGAAATGGATTTAAAGGATCATAAAACATCTCACAAGAAAACAAATGTATATATAGGGGGTAAGTTTCTAAAGAAATTGTAGTGTTGCGTCGGTGGGGAATAGAACCAGGTAATTTGGTTGTATCAACTGAGTTGAAAGGTGATCAACGTTTCGCTCTGACTAAGGGCTAGCTCTCGAAACGCCAGCTTTAGAAACTCTACACGGTGGCCAATTTACATTACCAAATCATTTGAAAAAGCAATTTATCTTAAAGGAAAACAATTTGGTTTACCTTGACACTGAAGGGAGTCTTGATTCAAACTTGAAAAGGGAGAGGCTGGTTGAATCGTCTGGGCTGAACAGCGTATTCTGTGAAGCTCTAATGGAACTGACTCAAACAGGAGCCGTTCGACTGTTTTATAGAGCTACCAGAGAAAGCCGGCATTGAGCCAGTTTTCTGAAACGTTCCCGTTCCCGTTCATGTTAGGACACGAACATTACGTGGCCAGATATAATCTTGTAATCTCGGGAACACGTTCGCAAGTTTCCTCGTTGCCTTAACCACTTTTTGCCAAAAACGTGCTAAACATGGAGTCTGTGTTGTAAACTCGGAAACACGTTCACAAGTTTCCTTGTTCCCTGAACCACTTTTTGCCAAAAACGTGCCGAGCATGGAGTCTGTGTTGTGACAGATTTAAATGTGGCTGAATGTGACGTGATGAAAACTGACGCTTAAAAGCCAAACTAGAAATCTCGCATGCTTAATTCTTAGCCTACCTTTAGCCGTACCCTTCCAACCCCCCCCCCCCCCTCCCTTCCTCTTCTCTTCCCATGAAGAAACGGAAAAGAGGGAGGAAACGTTTTTGTTGGGGGGGCGGGGCTAAGATTCCCTTAAGATTTTAAACGTAAAAGCAACCCTTTAACAAACTTGGTCCAGGGGCTCGTTTCTCGAAGGTGCTTTAAATTTTGATTTTGAATTATGGTTTCGAGCCGGTTACATGTGAGTTATGCAAGTTACTGGGACTTTCAAGAAGAGTTTCCCAGAGCTGGCTTGAGTTAGTAATCTCATTCATGGGAGACTTTGTTTAACCTCTCAGTTTTTTTAAAAAATCGTGACTTGTATGCAGGATTTGATGTTGATTGTTTCTGAATTGCCCTCTTCCCAGACATTCAACAAAGTTATTTCATTCCCTTGACACGACATGAAGTAAAATTTTGTAATAAGATACTCGTTCGGACAAGCACATCATTCAATGGCAATTTAACGGAAAATTGAGGGTCAAATGAAATCGGTATCACCTGTTATATCACGGGCTGAGCTTAGACTCGTACCACACTCATCCGTTTTTAGAGTGTGACGCGTAATTTAAGATGGATTTCCAAAGTCGTGTAACTTTTAGCGAACGTAAAACGTGCGTAAGCAATTTCCATTTCCCCGAAAAAATGGATACAAAGCATTTTTTTACGTACAAAAAACGCAGGCCCGTGCGTCAAGGTTGAAGGCTGTTCAACTTTAGTCTGCAATTTACTCGCGATTGCAACCTACGTAAACGTACGTAAACGTACGTAAACGTATTGACAAGACGTGGAAATGGAGAAATGACAAAATTTAGCGAACGACGGCGTTTACGCTCGTTGACATTTATTCTACGTAAACAATCTTTTTAACACACGTTCACGTGCGTGGACAAAAAACGCAACAGTGGAAATCCACCTCAAAGCCAAACTCAAAACATGTCACGCGTGACCTTTACAGAGAGGCGAGCGAGAGTCGTGACTTAATGAATCAGCGTGAGGCGTGATTTGCCTTCTGAAATATACATGACACTTGAATTTTTTTCAAAATCTCAACACAAGAAGAAAGATTTTATTCTTTTCCTATTAAATTCGTGAAGCGTGAAATGCTGTTTAAAGTATACGTGACGGGGGAATTTTTCTAAAATTTAAAGGAATTAGTGTTATATCTGATTCACACCAAAGATAGAACATGTTTTTAAGCTGTTTTGTAAAACGCGGTTCAAGTTTTACCGAATTCAAATCTAGCACATTAAAAATTAAAAGTTAGTGACTACTTGAGTCCACACTTAAGCGACCGGCAATCAAGATGGCTGCGAAGGCGACAGAATCACAACATCGTGTTTTTCATCACCGGTGTCAAAAGCCTCCACTTCACTTGTCCATACAAGTGGAGCGTTTATTTATTTTTATTTATTTTGGGGGGAAAAGTGGGACAGGCAACAACAGATAAAAAGAAGCGTTTCTTCGCGTGGTGGTCATTAAAATCAAGACATTGTTACATTCACATCAATACAATCTAACTAGCATTTTAGGACATGTTTTGAGGATGTAAAAACACAGAGACAATAAATAACGATGTTGCTGTTGTGCTTCTCAGCTAAGAGAGTCAAAGGGTTAAGAGGTGGCGCGTTAGTAAGGTCAAAACCGATATGCGAAGCTTGGATTTTAAAGAAAGGCAAGCGTGATTCGGTATGTTAGGGCGTGATCTTCCTCCTGAAATATACTTTATCCGTGAATTTTTCCCTGAAACCTTCAACACAATAGGCGAGATTTTAAGTTATCCCTTATAGATACGTGAAGTGTAAACTTTAATAAAATTCCTGCGCGAAACGGGTCAAGGCTCTCCCTTACTCATCTTCAGCCAACGGGACCTGTCAAGTGCATGCAAGTAGTTAAGTACTTTGACAGATTTAAGACAGCTTACAAGGCTTATTACTGCAAATTAGACCCTTTATTTGTCAGGTTTAGATATGTCTTAACAACATCAATACAACATTTTATCAAGTAGCCGGAAGACGTTTTAACTGAAGCTATTGTTAGCTTACACTGATTGATAGTGCCTACAAAACCTCGTCAATTATCATGAACTTTTCATGAAGGACCCCTCAAATCAATGTTAATATGTAAATATCAAAATAAACCTATATTTATCCGTATTAAGGGTGATATTGGTGATATTGACTCGCCTGCCACCAGCTGAAAGCTATTTTCTAAGGGGAAACCAAAGTCAGGAAAACTGTCAGCGTTTTTTATACAAAAGAAGATTAATTCTAGGTACGTCAGATACAGGCCTTTTCACGAAAGTAAACAGGAATCTTCTGAAAACTGGCTTACTGCCGGCTTTCTTTCGTAGCTCTATAAAAACTGAGGAACAGCTTCAAAGCGAGTTAGTTATCTCCAAGATTCCTTGGACAACGCTATTTAGATCAGAAGATTCAGCCATTGCAACTCTTTTCAACTTTGGTTTAGTCTATACTCAGTGTCAAGGTATGCTAAATTCCTTTCTTAAAGAAATTAGGTATAATTTTTATGTCAATCTTTAACGAGCTACTTTCAATTGTTTTCTGTGAAAAATGAGGGTAGATTCTGAATTCGCGATTTTTTGTTTCATCAGTTCTTTCTTTAAAGAATTACGTACGAAGAATTTGTGTGTTAATTTTCAATGAGCTAGTTTTAGTTATGTGTTTCGTGAAAAATGTCTGATTCTGTTTTGGATCACACAGTTAAACTGCACTACTTTACCCCCAAAACTTCATGACAAAGTGCTCTCTTTCAAATTCACTGTATAATTTATGTGGGAGTAACTCATTTCCAAAAACCATGGATCGAGTTTTAAGTGAAAAATAATTCTTAATTTTATTTGAGTGATAGCACTTCAAGTAACCGTAAAATGATACAATTGGCAGACACTAAAAACAACTTATTCCTTTAACTCCTATGAGTGACCAAGATAGAATTTCTCCTTACAATATAAATACAAAATCAAGCAGACAAGTAATGAGAATAAAGAAAAATATCAATCAGGGGATTATAAGTTGATTCAATACCAAATTCTCCAAATTAACATCACAAGAACTGTATGGCAGACAGTAAAAAGAATTACTTATGAGATCTTGGGAGTGAAAGGGTTAACAGCGCTGACCTCTTGATGGGGATGAAAAAATTACAGTCATCATAATGTACATGAAAAAATTACGCGCTTCTGATTGGCTGAAAACGATTGACTTCGCATTTAACACGAGTACAAAGTTGTAACACGAGTGCAAATTACAAATAGCGCGCGTCTGTCTTGACTTTCTGTGATGTTTTTCCATGTACGTCATTGGCAAATAATACCATGTTTCTCTTGCAATTTGTTGTAAGAGTCCCTTTTTAATTTTTTAAAGACTACAAATTGCATTTGCTCTACGGGCTCGTGCAATTTTGTCTTTGAAAAATTTAATCGTGCTTATTAACACCAAATTGCACTCGAAATTATGTTAATACCTATGCTCAAGGGGAAAAACGTTTGGAACTTTGACCGACCGCTTTTACAGGTTGGCGCAATTTCGATTTTTTCGCTTTTCGGTTCTATTTTTATCATTCAATTCTCATGATTAGGGTGCGTTTTTTCAGACGAGCTTTTTCATTTCTTAAATCCTAGCAAACTCTACCTGGTGAACGATATAGCTCTGCTACCTTTACTAACTTGAAAGCGCTAGAGAGAACAACGATACTATCTCGGACATGGAAGAAGAAACAAAAAATGAACAAGAAGAAAGCAAACTGGAAGAAGAAAGAAGAATGACGGACGCAGATTTGAAAAATGAACTGGTACTCTTGAAAAAAAAAGTTAAGGGAATTGTGGAGCCACCTGCTGCATTTCCTGTCCGTATCCTGTCTCCCTCGATAAAGGACAAGAACTTGAAAATGAAAACGTTTGATGAACAGGTTTGTACTCTGTTCATTACAAAATTAATTACATAGATACCTTAAATCCTTAAACATCAATCCTTCTTCCAAAGAAGGGCCTCGCCAAATTTTGAAGTAAAGTTTCCCTTCGAAAGGGGACCACCTGCCCTCCTTCTTTTTTTTTTATAGATGAGAGCTGAAAACACGTCGAGAGGACAATAGATGCCATCTATTTTTCCACTACTCTGTCATTTTACCATATCAGGGTAATGGAAAACGTAAAATTTGCCACATCAGGACAAAAATACGGACAGAAACGGTCCGTACGATCTTTGATTTCGTTTTGGTTTTTTGGCCATGATTTCTTTCAGGAACGAACTTCAAAACCTAAAATAATTGTTTTTGGTCATCAAGAACACTTAAATGGTTCCTTTTGTGTTGTTTTCATCTTTCACGCGAGCCTTATATGATCGGTACGATACTCAAATAAGACCGCAAAAAATGATAAGAGTGGAATGGTAACTCTCTTATTCGAAGGTTCAGCGTATAATACGAGCAGATATTTTGCTCATTGCTCGTATTTTTCCTCTACTCTGTGGGGTTAGCTAGCGAAAATACTGCGCAACTTGCAAAATGTTCCCGCTTATTAGAGTATTATATATTGGCACTTCCAATTCATTACTCATACAGTTTTGCCTTGATTATTTCCGGTGGGATTCAAGAAATCTCGGTGCTTTCCTTTACCACGAAAAACCAAATTGAACGTTATTTTTTGCCTTTCACGAAATAAGGAGAAAAAAATGCTTTCACTCACGCGCGTTTTTAGCAAATCGACAGAAGTTTAAAGAGTTGAAATTTACGAATTCGTAATTTGAAATCACAAATTTGTTTATCGTAGATAGAAAAGCTACCAGAACATTGCAAGAATTTCAGCATTGTTTTGGAAGAGAATTTCGAGACAGATGATAAGATCACAAACCGCCTCGGAATAAAATTGGGCAAATGTTTAGCTGACATCATAAAGGAAGATCAGTCCAGGAAAACTACAGAGCAAGAAAAGCGTAATGCAGAAGTAGCTGGCTCATTGATCGAACGTTTGGGGGATATGTTCAAAGTAAGCTTCATCGGCAAAGAGGTTAGTTTGTGCGGATACATGTACAAAAAGGGCGAGCAATGGCGCGAGCTTTATTTCTGGAATGGAAAAGCAGATGCAATCGGCTGGGATGAGGTAAAAAAGAAGTTTGTCATTGTGGAGTGGAAGGTAAGGGAAGTCAACGAAAGTGAAGATGTCGAGGTATTCAAACCGTTCCTGTTCCAGACCTTGGTATACGCAAAGCTTCTTAAGTTACTTCTCAACCTGGATTACTTGCCATCAATCCTAATTGTTCTTATTGACGGTCAAAGTGGAAAGATAGTCCATGCTGGTTTCTTCGAAGCTCCCGATAGTCTTGGGGACGAATACGTGTGGTGCGATCGGAAACCCGAACTTACCATAGAAATTACACCTGGGCCGCTGTTTCGCAAGGGCTTGGACAAGGTTGAGGAAGGCATGCTACTGAGAGATCTCTTCTCTGACAATGCCACGTTGGAAGACTTACAAAATTTTTTTAAAACCCCGCCACTGAAAGTTCCTAAACACAACAATGCCTAAGAGAGAGAAAAAACTGAGTAAACAGCAGCTGTCGAGTACTGATTTCATTTTGAACGTTTTCGCATCATTGGTAATGATTTCTACCAATGATACAGATACAGAGAATAACTTAATTGATAGTTTTATTCAGTTCTGTTCAAAAAATCGAAACCTTCAAATTTAGTCTCTTTTTTCCTTTTAATTGTCATTTCTTTTAATCATTTGATGCATACCGCGTGATAATAAGAACCAAAGTATCTTATTTCATAACATATCTGAATGCTTGAGTTTAAAATTACTCATTAACTATATCTGCATAACCTTATTGTCCCTAGCGGACGAAAGCCTCGTGCCTCACTCGACATAGAGCTCTAAATTTAGATGCACACCTTCATTTTAATTTCGCTTTTTGTTCTCAATTAGCTCCAGGAGGAGAGAGGTGTGGAAACCTCTATAGCTTTGGATTTTGCAAACAATACTTTTTGATGTCTTTTTTATTTCCATCTAGGAATTTTTTTGAGAAAAGAATATGGAATTCATTTTAATTTTTTTTCTGCGAATATTAAAAAGGCTATTTACACTATTTTGGGTTAAGCCCTTTCGGGGAGAGTTGATTAGATAGGTGATCTTTTTTACAAATATTTGAAAATTCCTTTATATCTCTTGCCTGATTTGAACCTGGATAGGGCAGAAAACATTCAATTGATAATTACATTTTTACGATGTTTGTTGATAAGACAAAAATTGAAGGACTTTTCAATGTTCCTCTAAGTAAATTATACATCTTGCATCCAAATTGATGCAAGGTGTTTTTGAAGCAGCATCGAGTTCATCTTCAACAGAGTTTAAAATAACTCGTTTGCTGTGCATGTCCTTTTGCAAAAGATGCTATGAAAAAGGTGATTTTGATATAAGCTGTACTCCTGTGTGGGAGATGAGTGCATATCCTTTTACAAAAGATGCTATGAAAAAAGTGATTTGATATAAGCTGTACTCCTGTGTGGGAGATGTATTTTAAATCAGAGAGGTTGAGGACTTGAACAACATCAAGTACATCTTTGACAGTGTTTAAAATGGCTCGATTGTTGTACACATCCTTTTGAAAAAAACAATGCTGAGAAAATGACGTTTGATAAATCAGTTGCTTAGTTTTTTAATGCTGAAATAAGCTATACCCCTTTTTAGGAGAAGCATTTTAAGGATCTTAGATGGTAGTGAGTGAGTCTTTGACAGGGTTCAAAACCACTCACTTTTCAATTGCTTTGATTTATCAGCTTCGTAGCCGTATAAAAGAAGACATAATGAAAAAGACATATATTCCGAGTAAATTTCATCTATGCTAATATTGTTTCACATATATGTGAAAGAGAATTGTTAAACATGATTTAACCAGTCAATAAAATTAACTTACTTATTGGTTATACAAGAGTTCAAGGTAACTTTACGCAATTTTTTGTAGATCGCCCCTCCGTAAAAAGCACCGCGTTTTATTTACGCATGAAAGGAAGTACTCTTCCGAACAAATATGTTTTTCGAGAACTAGAGTCTTACACAGGGTGAGAGGATTGAATATTATATCTATTGAACATGTTGCCTTCCGGACCAGGGGTCTTCGAGAGGGTTTGAGCGTTGAGGATATGCTTTTCACCTGTGCAGCGCTGACACTTTCGAAAATCAATGTGCATATGCAACTTATCATTTCTTGAAATGCCAGACGTGGCCTTAGGTTGGTCAATAAAATAAAAATTTATGACAATTTTCTCTTCAACAGTCTAGCAATACGATCGGCATTTTGTCCCAAACATGGTCAGAATTCTAGTTGATTTTAAGTTTCTCATGGCTAAGTTACAGTACTTTCAAAATCATTGTCCTGTAACTCGCCTTGTCTTAAGATTTAGAAAATAAATTGAACGCATCACTCGCACTTAAGTTGAGTTGCATTGTCTTCCTGATAGGTATCATATGTTTTTACATTCCTCTTTTAGCTTACAAATCTCTTTATTGTATAGCCCCGTTGTATGTGTCAGAACTTTTAGCTTATCGTAGGAATTCGTATTAACTTCCATCTCCGAGCAGTGGTGGTATCGTCGATGCTCTGCAACCCAAACTTCACTCGTCCCCACCCCTCCTCCACCTCCACTTCCTCCATGGACTATCACTAGCGTTGCGCAGAAATCCATGCTTGATGGCAATTTCTTGGCCGGAAATTTGAACCACTAATAATTCCACATCAAACATACTTAGGCTAATTAACAATTTGGCAAGAGGAAGGAAAAAAAAAGACGTGGAACCAACAACAGTTTTAAAACAAGGTAGAGCTATCCTGTTACCATTTACCTTTACATGCAACATTAAAACAGTCTTGAAACATTTAACCTTCACAGAGGCACAAAGCTGAACACTGAACCGGGGTGATTGATAGAAGTCACACCTTCTTCCCCTCCTCTGAGTATTATTTTGAATATTTATTGTTAGGTGCATGCTCCAAATGTATAATTTGAATTGCAAATATGGTTCTACTTTCATTTAATATTTATCTTAGTTCAGTCGAGGCCTTTGCACGTGGAGCTCAGAACTTTCCTTGGTTACTTGGTTTGCTTCTAGGCTTAAAATTGCAGTTCTTGGTTTGAAAAATCGTCGACGAACAAGTCTTTGACGGCCTTAGCGTCTCGAGAACGATACAAAAAATTTTGGGTGGTCTTGAGAGTCGGTTTTTTGCATCGTGTCACGGTCTTCGGACGAATGTTGCAGCCTGCAACGATGCACCGAATGAGTCAAGCCACGAAGAAAAGGAAGACCTGTATTCGATTACCTCATGTAAGTCATCTAGTTTAATTCTCCTGCACAGATGAAAATTAACGACAATTCCTAATGTTTTGAGACAGCTTCAGCTCACTGAAGGTAGTATTTCAGTAGCGAGTCTTCGACCCTTCCTTCACGAATTTTTAAGGACAGAACATTTTTGTATTAACTCAATCCTGTGCAATATATTAGAATTTTACTCAACGAAAGCCAGTTTTAAAACGGATACTAATTTTTAAGGTCAGGTTTGACAATATACGGATATCAAAATGACAACTTTTGGTCTGAAAAGGGTTAAGATTTAGAGACACATGCCGCACAGTAACACCAAAAACTCCTATCCTTGGGGGGGGGGGAGGGAGGGAGGGAAGGGAAGGAAGCAGCGGTAATAGACAAATCGGTTCACTTTTAGATCATTTCCTCTAAAAACATTATTTGTTTGACGCTGACATTTTGGGGAGTCCTCCGACATTATTGTCCTTGTTATGAATAGATGTATTCGCAAAATCTAAGATATTCCGAACTGTTAATCAAAGTTTTCAATCTTAAATGGTCATTCTTTAGACTATCCCAGTTCATCTTGAGGTCTTGAAAACCAAACTTTAAACATCTCAGTAAGTACTCATCCTAAAATTTTTATGCACTAGTCTCTCTCTCTCTCCTTCCCAGCCTCCTTGCAAATTTTTTTTCTGTGAAATATTCAAACGTTACAATTAACACTTTAAAAATTTTCCTCAGTTGTCTTTCGTCAATTAATTTTTTCTGTTGGCTTTTAAGGTAACCATGTAAGAAGAGAGAAGACAGCCCATCATAAACAAAATCAAGATTGTGAGGCAGATACAGTCAGTACATACAGGTCAGTTTGACTACGTCTTCAATATTTTACGAAAAGTTTGGCTAAGGTAGTTCTTATTTTTCTTGCGCACAAGTCTTTCATACTCAAAAAACGACTTACTTGGCTGGGATGTTGTACAAGGACAGAATTGACACTGTAACTCAAAATTTTAAACAAAGAAGTCACTTATTTGTCGCATATAAAATCATGAGAGAAAAATGCTCACGATCTTTTCCACGTAAATTTAACAAGTAAAGCCTACCAGTCATTAATTTCCAGTATCTTTAGAAATTCAGTATTAATCTAATTATTTTCAAACTTGAAACATCTCTGATTGCAGTAACGTTGTCATAGCGGGAAGAAAAAAAAGAAAAAAGAAAAAATGAAAAACGAAAAAGAGAAAAAGAAAAAAGAAAAAAGAAAAAAATGAAAAACGAAAGAGAAAAAATCCAAATTTAAATGAAGCTCTGTAATATTCTCATGACTACCCCCTCATTGACTGTTGATTGACAGGCGATTTTCTACAGTCTGTCCTTATTCTCCGATGGCGACGATTGATCCCCCCTTTAGCCCCCCCCCCCCCCGAAAACAAGTGATCTCCAAAGTCTTCCACCCCCTCCACTCTAGACCTCTGAGAGCATTTCGTGATGTGGGGTTTTTAACTGATAACATTGAATTCAACGAGGTTTCTTTTATCTCAGAAAGTGTTACTGATTTATAAAGCCGCTAATGTTTATGTGAGATAATTTAATTTAATCAATCAGCCAAAAGCTTCGAGTGTTCTTATATCAGATCATCAATAATCTATTCATAGTGCTAGATTTGTACCTAAACTCCCCATTTTGCACTACAGACCTAGGATGAACGCAAAACGCTATTTAATTTAACAAGACTGTGCATATTAGTTAACGGGAAAAAAAAAATCTCCCAACACTAAACCCACTGATTAATTGATTCGAACGAACTCGGGTCAGTCGCCCACCTCATCACTCTTTCGTATGCATTTTCTGAGTTGAATGGCTCACAGATTTGTTTTTGCTTTTCACTTTTTTGTTTTTCTTTTTTTCATGACAACTTTATTACAATTAGATGTGTTTCCCCCAAATGACAAACCAATTAAAAAAATAACTCTGCGTTGAGTTGTAAGACACTTTTAAGCTTTAGTTCGCTTTGAAATTCAATCCACTGTTTTCAATTGAATGTTAAAAGTAATCGGAGATTGCTTTGGTTTAGCTGTACTTGTTATGTGATTGGTTCAGAAAACTCGCGCTACTTTCCCAATCAAAACAAAACCCAAAACCATCACGATTTGGTCACCCGCGTTTCCCGCGCCTCAAACAGTTTGATCGTTTTTATTTCGAGTTCTCATTGGCTCCTCGTGACATTATCCTTGACATGATTGGCTGTTGAGTTTATACTGGTTCTGTTTTACGACACTCAATCGAAAGCCCTTCAACTATGATGTATTTATCAATTTTCTTTTTACTTTTCCTCTCTAGATAATCTTATTGCATCGAAACCCTCAAGAACAGAGCAAGGAATGATAAAATGAGAGTAAGACGTTTTTAGATTTTGCACTTTTTGAAATTTTCGTGCTCTGCTCGTTGTGTTAAAACCTCAAGATTTATAATGGTAACAGGACCGAGTGGAGCACAATTCCGTCTGTAATCATGAGTGATTAACAAAATCGGACGACCAAGAAGCGGGAGTCCGATTTGTTAATTACGAGTATGATTACAGACAGAATTGGACGACACGAAGTCCTGTTACCAATTAATTAAAACTATGACATTTTTTGAGATAGAAACTAGACATCGGTTATACGTTTTCTTAGAATAGAAAATACAACATTTAACTCGGCGAAATGCGAGACAACAGTGCGCGCACATGACGCGTTCTGTCCACTTACATAGGCATGACGTGTTAACTGTCCCTTTTAACTGTCCTATTATACTGTCCAATTACAAGCATGACGCGTACACTGTCCAATTAGTGCCCAAATCAGACCGGTGATGACCAATCATGTTCAAGAATTTTGTCATAGTTCTGACTAAAGTCATAATTGCTGGTCGATTGATCCAAATTAGACATGAAAAAATAACTATGAAGCAGGAATTACAATTACTATAAGATTATACAACAGACAGAATAATTGAAGAGACTGCAAGGTGCAATAAATGTGTTTTATTTCAAATGATACAAAAACGCAAATTTTATTATTCGGAAGCCTTGAATGGCTGTTTTCACTCTTTGACCACTGAAAGTGATTACTATTTCATTTCTCCTAAAAATATCACTCCTGAATCACACATTAAGGCCACGAGAGTGAAGGAAATGATCACCAAGCTTTTGATTGTTGAACAAATTCTCCTTATCAACACTTTAGCAAATACGTAGAGAACAATATGGAGAATTCAAATGTTGATGTTAGGGTGTAAAGGCTCAACGCTTTTCAGTAGATCAACGGTTGAGTTGAGAACGAATATAATTCAGATTAACTAAAATAGGGAGAGATCTTGCACTGCACTTTCAACGGCGTGTAGAGTTGTGTTTTCCCATGATCCAGCCCACCTTGATGTGGAGTGCCAAAATAATTTGTGCGTCTGGTGAAATAGTATTGAAATTGTCGTAACTGAATTTTGGTTCATTTGTCCTTACGTTTTTATGGTCTATTTGACTCTTAAAAATTTTCCTGTCGTCTCTGCATGAAACTGAAAAATCAATTTTAGGGAGAAAGTAATTCGTAACAAAGGTGAATGAAGAGTTGAAGTAGAAAATTGCCAAAACGCTCAGCAGTTAATACAGCTCAGTGTATGCTAGGAAAAATTGTCATTAAATCATACATTTTTTTTGTTTCAGGTTCCAAAGATCAATGCCAGAAGAAAAGATTATCCCAGAATACTCTTGAAGTTTATCTACTTGAAATAAAGTTTATTGCAATTCTGGCATAAAGGCATCCGTTAACGAAATTTGTCACGCCGAAAGAAAAAGAAAAAAAGCAATATTTACGTAGGAATAAAAACTCGCGCTTTTGAGGGGGCAAACCACGTGTCTGCGAGAAGGAAAAGGAAAGATTTATTCCTTCGGTAGTTGAAACATTTTAGAAAACTGAAAAATATTTTCGAAAAAAAATTAAGTCTTTTGGCGGGAAAAATGTCTCTGGAAAAAAAAGGTCTGCGCTTTTGAATTGTGTCTTGTGTTGATCAGAAAATATACCGAGTCTTTTGGCGGGAAAAATCCTGCATTGTGCAGTTTATTTCTTCCCATCAAAAGTTTTGTTTTATCACAAGCTCCAGTTCAAATCCGTAGAAATTTTAAGAAAAATTTCTAAGAATATCTTCAAACGTACATTAGATTCTTCTCGAGCGGTTGGACTTGACAAGGTGTCTTCTTTTTCATCTTAATTTTTATATGATGACCAAAGCCTTCCCTCTTGCATGCGTTCTTCTGTTGAAATGAATTGTTTGTAATTTCATATTACTAGCATATCTGAATACTTCTCCCATGGGCGACTTCGACGATTTGTGTTTGATCGCAAACACTGAGAAGAAACAACTTTATTTGATAACAAATCGCTTAAAAAAACTGATGTATGACAGTGTGTTAACGTAATACGGATTATGTAGACCGAAGACTTTTTTTAACCTGTGTTTTTTATGCGTCATCTCCTGCTACACCATTTGCGTAAAGTAAACCCAACGTTTCGACATTCCTGTCTACATGGGACAGACCAAACGTCAGTTGGTACACGTTTGAAAGAGCATCAAAATGCGGTTTTCTTTTGCAAAAAAGCTTTAAAAAGCTCAGCTTTACCGGAGAACACATACTTAACTAACCATACAATTGGGTGGGTTAATTCTAAAACTATCATCACTAATCGGCGTTATCACCAGCGCCTTTGTTTGAAAGCTTGGCATATTAACTCCGCCCACGCTCTTTTAAATCGCCATGATGGCGGCTTACTTCCTGACGCCTATTTACACCTCGTCAGAAAAAAGGTAGCTAATTAGTGATCATATAAAAGGACCTCTTGTTACAGCGTTTAGGTCTTCTTTGGTTACATTCATTAAATCTGTAAACTAGAGTAGCATCAAACCATGTCTGATGGAAATTTAGTGTTATCAACTGAGTTGATAACGTAAATTGGCCACCGTAAAGAGTTGAAAAGCTCTTAAACTCTTTACGATGGCCGATTTACGCCATCAACTCAGTTGATAACACTAAGTTACCTTAACAACTTTGTGAGTTTTGAAACTGATACATGAAGTCCACAGGCGTACAATACAATAAATGATGGAAACCTACATCAACTGATTGTCAATTTTTTTTTATCAAAATAACTTTCAAAGCGATCACAAAAATGCATTTTTTTGGCCAATTATCTAAGTTTATTAAACTGAAAAAGTTTCTACCGCAACACACCAGCGATGAGAAAACTCGATCGAAAAAATGAGTCATTTAAAAAACACTGTTTAAGATGTACTCAATTCATTTAAAATTATTTAATCCCTTACTTAGGCTATTTTGAAGTCTCCAAAAAGATCACTGCTGTGAGTCACTAGTTTTTTTTTCCTTTTAAAAGTCGCAGAGAAAAATAGGCTCTAAATAGAAGCAACAGATGAGTCATTTTAAACACTGATAGAGATGTCCCACTCAATTGCCTTCCCGTTTGAAGGTTAACAAAGTCACGATGTGGAACCAAACCTTCTGCATTACAATAGCTATTATGTATCAAAGTACAAATTGTTAGAATTGATTTCTCTAACACTCGTTTGTGGACTGGTTGATCCTTCTTTATTTGCTTCTCTTCTCAAGTTGTTACAATGGGGACTAGCTTCAATCTATCAGGGAAAACTAGAGTCTCCGCTTATAAAGGTGTCACTGCGGATGACATTTCTAAGCCGTCAATCTTCTTGTGTCGTCATCGTACCATCTCAACTAGCGAATCACGCTTGACTACGTATTATAGTTCCCACATACTGAGTAAGCACCTTAGGGTTGTCTACGCAGTTACAAAATCAATTTCTTCCCTCAGGGGAAGAATTTTCATATCTTTACGGTTGAGATCGGCCAGAACAGAAACGAGATCGACAATATAAAAATTACAAATAACCTTGGTGTAGGGTATTATTTATACCTGAAAGTGTATTTTTAAGAGCAAATCACCTTTAAAGATTGTTACATAACAACATCTTGGTCACAAGAGTTAAAGAAGAAGGGCGCTCACAAGTACCGCCCCCAAATTGCTTCTTGTTGCGACAACATGAGGGACATCACTTGTTTACCCTTAAATTACCTCTGGGAACACGAAGGTGTCGAACGCGACCTATTACCAGGGAGATTTACTCTTCCTGGACTAACAAATTAACTTATTTAAGAGCACGGCCTATCACGAGTTCCATGTCAACTTCACGATCACAACGAAGAAAACGTGATTAAACTCACCAGGTGAACGTGGCCTAACTCACAATAAGAACGTGATTAAACTCAACCTTTAAGATAAGACCACCAAGAAGGCGTACGAAGTAATCAACCTGCCCTTTTTATAATTTACTTTAAACGACTTAGAATAATATAACATTTCCATTCCTTTTCCTTCTAACACCAATACAGAAAACCCTTACGATATTATAGATTAACTATAATTGTAATTTTATCATTTAACAAAATATCTAATGAAAAGCTTAATTTGATTTTTCTGCGCTCTAGAACTTCAGTTTGCTCTCTAGTCTCTCTCAATTTCCATTTGAAAAATATTCGATAATTACGATTATATGACAATACTATTATGGGAATATTTTGAAGAAGCAGATGAGTAATATTAAGCACTGTTAAAGATGTACTCAAACTGACCAAATTGATACCATATATAGTCACATAAAAGCAAAACATTCAAAACTTTAAAACTTCTTAACCGAATTTCTACATATTTTAAAAAAATCGATTTTATCAATAAACTTCCTAAAAGCTAGACGGATTGCTGTATTTACTAATTATATTCCTTGGCTATTTCAGTTCAACATGTTTTGGTAAGTTGCAGAACCTTTTACTGAACCATTTTGACTATTAGCGCTACAGTTTCTTAAAAATGACCTGCTCTACTTGAAATTTCCTCTTTGTAGATCGCACTTGAATCAGGAACTTTCTGAGCTTTAATTGACAGCGTTTCATTTCATTTTTTTCCCGGCTGCATGTGTAATGCATTTCAGCATCTTCATGGCAAGCTTACCTTCACATTCTTCTTCGATCATCTTTTTCTGTTTTTCCAACCACTTGTCCACGTAGTTGCGGTCTGTGCCCTCCGTAGGCATGGCTTGGAAGTCGGTCTCGACACCTGGTAAGGCTTCAAAAAACACTCGGCAAGCAGACTTCATATCCCTGGCTTCCAACTTCATCACTTTGAAGAAAATATATTGAGGGTCAAACTCGCTTTTACTGGCGTTGTTTTCAAACTTTTGCAATTCTTGTTCCATAGCAGAGAAGAAGCTAGCTGCTTGAGAAATTCCCTCAATGAAGGCTTCCAAAACAGGGATGAGGGTTTCTTTCACTGCCAAGGCGGCTACTTCTTGGATATTGGCTTGCACTCCTGCAGCGGTGGCTTCAGCCAAATTTATGTCACCAACAACGCGTAGAAGTTCCCCGACAATGATACCAATGATCGGGATATCGAAAAGTGCTAACGCCCAAGCACGTTGGGTGCGTGCCTTTTTTTTCAGTTCTTCCTTCTTCTTCTCATATTCGACCGCAAGGCCTTTTACTTTAGCTACGAGCATACCAGCTTGGTCTCTCCTCTTCTTAAGGGTCACCAAAATGTCGCGATGCAGTCTCAACAGCGTCATACAGAGTTTCTTGTAATCAGTAGTTTCCTTGCGGATCCTGGAAATACTTTCACACCACTCATCAAACGTCAGAGCGTCGTAGTAATCAAAGTATGCGCTGATGGATGAGACAAACTCGGTTGCCAAAGGAAGGATGCCCTCAATGTACACCATAGCATCATTCCTGGTGTCGTCGCGAAGTGTTCTGAACTCTTTAGCAACTTCTTTGTCAGTGCCCACCGCATTTTCCGCGTAGAGGGACCTCATGGTAAGGGAGAACAATCTCATATCGACAGACATGCCCTTCAAAATTTCCCGAAGCTCGTTGACCTCCTTCTTGGTTTTTTCCTCCATGGTACTAATCTGCGAGTAACAAAAGAGATCGCACTTTAAAATGTACTCGAGGTAACGTGCTCGCTAAGTATTAAAGTATAGCTTATATGCCCTTAATCATTGATTAGTAAGCAGTTAAGTCGTTTTCTTCTGAAAACTTTGCGCAAGATTTCTCACGACAGAAAAGTAAGAGCGCTTTTACACAAAGAATCTTGGAGAAATGCACAATTTAAATGATACGTAATTCTTCCTTGGGTCACCATACATTTTTATTCAAACTGTAGAAAACTTTACATTGCTTCAATATAAAACCCTCTAGTCAATGAGTATCTTAATATCCATCCCAGGTTTCGCGGGATAAGTGACTTAGATCAGATGCAGAAGATGATATGTTAATCACCTCTGAGGGTAAATTCTGATAATAAAGGGCAGCTTCACTAGTGGAGGTTTTTGGAAACGATTGAGAGAAAACAGAAGGGTTTACCACAAAATAGAATAGAAGAAACTATTGGGGATTAGAAAACAAAAGCAGCCTATTGGACTTGAGGCCCTTGTGTTAACGAAATAGATGTGAAGGATCATAAAACATCCCACGAGAAAGCATTTCCTCAATCAGTTTGCATGTCGGCTTTAGTCTCTCGGAATTGTATGAAAGACCTGGCACAAAAAGTGCTCGTAAACGAACGATTTTACTTCTATTTTCTGCCAAAAGCCCGCTCACTTATTAGTTCTTCTATTGAAGATAACTTGTTTCTTTCTCCTTTTAGTTAGTATAACGGCACGACAATGAGAACGTTTGTGTCTCTCCAATACGGCCTGGGTTCGGTTCTCAAACCTGTGGTCGTGTATCTGTTGATTGTCTTTTTGATCTCATTTCCAAGGTTTTTCTCCAGGTTCATTTGCCTCCTTTCTCTTTGAGAAACAATACTCTAAATTTCAATTCGGAGCGTTTTTTTTTTTAACCTTTCCGTTCCCCGTCTTGAAAGGACTTGCAAATTAGGTTGCGGTCATTGTAAATTATCCTAACCTGGACAAAGTTATGACCCGAAATGATTTTTAAATAACATTGACAACGCTAGTTAATTAATAGTTTTGAAAATTTCTTCAGCTTAAGTCGTCGTTCTATAAGACTAATAAGTCTGCATAAGCTCTGAAATTTTTTATTGACCCATGAATTTTTTTCAGTGGGTTTGGACAATGCGGTTAGAATATGTTATATAAAAAGCTCTACCGTTAGAAAAGAACAATAGTAATCAAACAAAACGTTTGACACATAAGGAGTCCGTCTGGATATTTAAATTAGGTTTGAGATTCTTGATGAACAGCAATTCAAAGACTAAACAATCAAATTTTCCCTGGCACTTTCTTAAAATTCTAAATTGGTTCTCTTACAAGAGGTGGTTGCTACCGTGAGCTTCCAAGAAATTTCGACCGATTGCCGAATATTTGTGCTCAGCAGTGCGTTGATAAAGTGTCGAGCTGTGTACCCGACATCTGCATCGCACGGATTACATGAGAAACGATAAACAACGCATTGCCGATTCACAATTGACGGCTTGATTTCTTTGGTTTAAGATCTTGCCCCAATTTCTTGTTCGCAAAACAGGCTGCAATGAAGGGAGAATCTTATGACTAAGATCGCGCAACTGCTCCCGAACCGCATTAACGGCCACTTCAGGGCGTGAAATTAGCTTTTTTTTCTGATAGCCACTTGGCTCCTAAATTCTTCAAAGTGGTAGCCAATTCAAAAAAAGTTGGTCGCCATTTTCAAAGACAAACAAAATCTTTCTTTACGCTGTCAGCGTTCTAGATAGACCCTCCAAAATTAAGTTAGGGAAAAGATCTTTAACGTGCTACAAAGTGGACACTAGGATAGATGATATACAACGTTCAGGCTCATCTAAATCCAAGATGGCGTCTAGTTATCGATCGAGATGCATGTGCTACGTTTTGGAAACAAACTTAACGAGGATGTTTGCCGCGGATTTATCTTTGCAAATCTTTTTAATTCACTATATCTCTTGGTAAGGTTATGATGAAACGTTCTAGTCGCCAATTTGGCGACTAACTTTCAGGATTTGGTCGCCAAAGTGAAAAATTTAGTCGCATTGGCGCCTGTATTAGGCGCAATTTCACGCCCTGCACTTGATCGTTGAATGGAGGACTATTTCTTACTGTGCTACTATCATCGGCGTTTCTTTCCGCTGTGCCTGCCGTAACATTTTTAAAAAGAAAATTATTGATAGCGGAATCGAGAAGGCCCATAGGTTAGTCAAGGCGACCGAAAATAGAGCGCAATTTCAACTACAATGCGAACAGGATATTACGTGTAGCCGGTAATTTATATTTAAAGTCAAAAGGGAAAAGGTTTCAGATTATCTCGTAACACTCAGTTTTCTCGGTTCTCACTAAATGTTCTAATAAAAACATAGAGAAAGCAGGAACACAGCACTTAAGATCGATAACATTTTCATAGCTTGTTTTTGTCTGCAATCATTTGGCCTAGTGTGTTGTTACTGGCTTACTTTACTGAAAGACTTGTATGAAAGCCAGACCTTCTTCTTTTCTACAATGGAATAAGTTTTTCTTACTTGATACAAACTCACAATGTTACCGGTGGAACACAAGTGGGTGAGACAATAATCCACTTAATCTTGTAAATTATTTTGGAGCTTACCTTAAAACGACGTTTCGTCAACTACAAGATAGAAGATATTTTCACGGCTGTTTCGCGATGGAAATTTAGTTCGTGCATGCGGTCTACAGGAAACATCGAGTTAATTATTACTTCTCTGGTTAATACCAAATTATGCATTTGCATAAATCTAGCGTCCATGGCAATCCCTTGGGCTAAGACCCAGTTCAGCCAATGAAATCTTACTGTGTGTGTAATGTATGTGAGCGAAATTCAGCATGGCGGATGTGTGCACATGAAGAGGCCCTTGCTGTCGAAAATTTGAGTAAAATCGGTCAAATTTTGCCTGTATTCGACGAAAACACGTTGCTATGGTGGAGTTCAACAAGCACGCCCTATGAAATCGACTGAAAACTTTGATTTCAATTTGCAAAAGGCCCGAATTTTTTCCAGCAAAGCAAGAATCATTAGAGAAGACTTCAAACCTTACTGAACAACTGACAGAGGTAAGTGTTTTAATCCGAATTGCTTTAGACTCCTCTCGAGGCGCTTTCAATATGTTAAGATCGGCCGTTATGCGACTCCATTTTGAATTTCGGAAGTACTGAATTTTAAGCAAAACAGTCTGTAAACGACTGGAGAGCTTTAGTTTTGGTTCCAAAGAGTGCGGTAACACTTTTATTCATATAAACTAGTACTTGAGCAAATAAATTACACTAGATTTACATACATAGTACTCGTTCTTAGTCAATGAACCGATACATTGCAAGTGAAAAGGCAGGAGATTTACTCGTTCGCTTTTCGTTTTAAATTTCTCTCTTTAGGTTTGGGAGCTTTCCGGACTCGTGGCAATGTGGTGGTTAACAAGGATTTGACGTAATCTCGTGTCCTTTTTCTTCACATGGTCAAAATGCTGGGACTGGGTGTTGAATTCGTGTTGAAGGAGTGTATTCCTTCAATCCTTTGTTCACAATGGAATCCATTGTTGAAGAAAAGGGCAAACATGTTCTTCTAACATATGGAGCCTTGGTGTGATCATCATGTCTGGGAATTTTTCCCAAATGAACTGAAGAAAATTTGTGATGTCTTCCTCTGCAACAAGAAAAGGTGGAACAGACTTAAGACATGATCTTATTATTGAATTCATGTTTTTCATAAAAGTGAGGTTCTTTCTTTCACTTACCTAGCTTATCAATCTTGTCATTATTGAGATAGTCTGCACTTTCATAGACTAAGTGGCAAGCAGCAAATAACTTGAAAACTTGTTTAAATTTAACACTAATTTCTCTTGCTTGAGAAAGGAAGGAAGGACACAGCTCCACTGTTTTTGTCACCACAGTACTGCATAATTAAATGATATTGTCTTCCTACCAAAAAAGAAACCAGCAACAGTTTAATAGAATTTTGTGTTACCTTGCAGCAAGTGTGTACATGGTTACCAATTAATGATTTTCCATGGTAAGCATGTCTCTTGACATTCATTTTCTTGAGAACCTCATCCAAATGAACTGATAATGGTCCATTGACTTTCTCAAAGGCAGCCAATTCCATTTGTTCCCCCGAAAGCTTTTCCTATAATGTTGAGATAATACTTTTTAAATCTTGCTGTTGATAGGTTGTCAAATTCATTTGAGCCAGTGTAAATATATAGGTAACCAGTCAACTCGCCGACGGACCAACTCGCCGACACCAACTCGCCGACGTATAAAATCAAGTTAAGGCGTCGGCGAGTTGGTCGTCAATCCAATACAACTTATTAGAAGTTAAACATACAGAGAAGTAAACGAAATTTAGTAAAAAAACACTGGCGAACATTGGTGAACATCAAACAGAAGCTTAAACATCGGTGAACATTGGTGAACATCACCAATGACTATAACGAACGAGTTATGTGCGACAACAACACCGTAAAGACTCATCTTGTCAATCGCTCAGATTTTTTAACGAAAACTTGGCTTTCATAATCCAAACACATTACTCTGTAATTGCCTAATAAAAAGAATTGCTTTTTACTAAAGATCTTGACTAGAAAGCCAAGTTTCCTTTAAAATCTGACCGATTGTCATGATGAGTCTTTACGGTGTTGTTGTCACACAATAACTCGTTCGCGTCTTAAGCTGTTAGAGTCGTTGGTGAGTTTTACTTCGCTTTATTCGCCTTAAGATCCTTATAAACTTTGTTGCAAATAAAAAGAAATGCTTTTTACTAAAGATCTCGTCTAGAAAGCCACGTTTTCGTTAAAAAATCTGAGCGATTGACATGATGAGTCTTTACGGTGTTGTTGTCGCACAATAACTCGTTCGCGTCTTAAGCTGTTATAGTCATTGGTGATGTTCACCAATGTCCACCGATGTTTAAGCTTCTGTTTGATGTTCACCAATGTCCAATGTTTTTTTTACTAAATATCGTTTAATTTTCTGTATGTTTAGCTTCTAATAAGTTGTATTGGATTGACGACCAACTCGCCGACGTCTCTACTCGATTTTATACGTCGGCGAGTTGGTGTCGGCGAGTTGGTCCGTCGGCGAGTTGACCGTAAACCAATATATAAATAAATATATAAATAAATGATCTGTAAAACAAAATCATACCTTCTTCAACTGAAAAATTAAGATGGGTTTGAAACATGTGCAATGGAATTAGAGCATCATACAGCTGTTATACTGGAAAACACAAATATATTATTGCTACCTCCTCCTTTGCATTTCCAAGGAGTTTGTGTATCTCCTTCTGTAGTAGTGTAAAGTAGGCAGGCATGATATGAACATTAGCATGCAGACTTTGTAAATTCAGCAAATCCTGTAAAGAATTGGCTTTTTCATGAAATTTTTGTGCCTGTCTAGTATGTAGTTGGGCAGCTCTGAATGCCTGGATCTTTTCATCATTCTCTTCACTGTCTCCTGCCAGCATCATTTGAATTTTTTTTTGTCCAGTGCAAAGCACTGGTTCTCTAGTTTATCCAACAGTTTCTTAAACACACCCAAGCTAATGTGAAGTCCAGGAACACAAACCTGAAATAGAGAACCATTTAGTTAGGTGTCCTGTATGTCCCTCTTCAAAGCAATAAAATAAACTCTTCTAAGGGCTGAAAATGGATTATCTTATCTTTTGTTTTGAAATGAATGTCTTTATTTTCAACTTAAGAAAATATTTTATTACCTGGCCACCTGTTTTGAGGAGAATAGTTGCCCCATCCTGAGACTGTGAAAGGAACTGTCAAATGATGAACAATCCAGCTT